CTCTGAGGAGCTTGCCCAGTGGCCACCATTTACTTCTTGAAGTTCTCAGAGGTTCCCTAATATACCATATTTTGAACCTAATACACTCAGAAACTCTTGGATTTTGAGGATGAGAAATACATAGACTATGAGTAAAGGATTAGGTATAGAATGAAGACAAATATGATACTCCCCAAACTGTACTAGATCTTCTTTGTTCAGAAACTGGTTCCCACACAGGCTGGGAGTCTTAAAAGTTCTCTACAAATTTGACCATTACCAAAGTCAGGCTAACATGCAAACAGTTTGATGAATAAGTTCAGACAGGTTGTAAGTCACACCCACACAAATTCATTCCCAAATGGATGTAGTAAAGGAAAATTGATTCATCAGTGTGTGAATATTCTGTACTAAATCTTAATTTAGGGTAAAAAGGAATTTTGCGTTTTCCGTCATGGCACCTACCACCTTTTGGAATGTTAAATCTTCTGGTTGGCAAAGTAGGTGGGAAGACTTTATCAAAAGTCCCCATGAACCCCTTGGATAAAAATATCCACATGTCTTTATGGAAACTATTTTCAATGAGATTGTGATGACCCAGCAGGCAGACTTTAATACTAGGTAGGTCATCATGAAGGCCCACTGGGTCATGTACAAACAAACAAACAACATTGTAGTATGCAAGATACCTGTCCATATGGCAAAAAAAAAAAGACTCCAGTTGCTTTATAATACCATAGTTATTTCTTTCAATTGCTTCCCAACCATTCTATAGTCTTTACAGTTTAATAGATTCCTTGTATGTTCCTGACAAAACTGCTGTCACAATTCCACACTATAGATAATCCTATGCTGGGTATTACTCCCTTCCTTCAAATTTTGTGTGGTTTTGATGCATTAAAATAGCCCTTTAACTAGCTGCAAACCATCTATTTTGGTAGTCAGCCAACACTATACTGTTGTTAGACACCTGCTGGTGATTTGGTAAGTCTTGGGTGTGGAGATAGCATCTGGAATTGGAGGAGTGCAAGGGCAAGGTAAAAAAAAAAACAGAAAAAAAAAACTCTGGGTTGTTAACGGTGTATCCACAGAGTGTCAAGGTTAAAGGGATGACAGGATGGGAAAGGAAAGTGAGCAGAACTTCAGGGATAAGGATTCCATAAAGGTTAAGAAAACATCATGCAGAGGAAATTATGGAGTTGACTGTTTGTATTACTTACCCTGATTCTCCAAAGTTCAGGTCATTTTAGTATTATTGATTGCTTTCTCCATCATAGGCCAGACATTTTGTGCTAGTGTAGTTGTGAGCAGAGTACACCAAGCCAGGTTTTTTTCCTGGGCCATCTTCATTAGGCCAGGCAAAACATGAAGAACATATTGATTCAATATTCTGTGATTATCATTCCATTATCTTGGACTAATCTGAGTATTCCAAGAGGCCCATCTTGTTCTATAATATATACAGGTATTTATAAGAATCTAGGTATAGACAGCTTTGTTACAGATTAAATGAATAAAACATAAATAGTTTTAAAAGAGATACTCATGAACTAGGAATATGTGGATATCTACAATTCACAAGGCAATTTACATTTCAGATGATTGTCTGTAAACACACACACACACACACACACACAACACACACGCACACACAGAAAGATGCTTCCAAACTACTCCCTGGAATGCATTGATTACCTATTTGTCATAGATTCAAATCATCAACTATAATTTCCTGTTGTGCTTCTTGTCCCTCCCTTTGAAAAACTGTGATTTCATACTGTTTTCATATTTGGATAGAAGAGAGCCTAGGCCAGAACATAAACTGAGAATACCTTCCTCCATCTCTTCCTGCTTAAATATTACCTATCCTTTAAAGCCCAGCTCAAATGTCATTTCTTCAATGAAGCTTTGGTTGATCCTTCAATCATCAATGATGTGTCCAGCCTTGAATTTCCTGTAGTACATAGTTCACCCAACTCTTATGCACTTTTCATATATCATTCCATATGAGAATTATTTGTATATTTGTTGCATACCCCTACTAGCTTGGGAATTCTAAAAGTAAAAATATTTTGTCTTATTAATTAGTTACTTAATAATTAATCAATTAACACAATTAATTATTTGCCTTCTTACCTGGCATTGTACTCTGTACACAGTAGAAGTTTAGTGAATATTTATTGAAGTCATTGAAGTCAGGTTCTGTTTACAAAGTAGCAATAAACATGAAATTTCCTCATCCTCCGCCACTTCAACTATGACAACTAAATAAATTAAAAACTACCAAATTCCTGCCACAACAACATTTTAAAATGGCCCAAATGACAAGGGTAAGGATATAGCAGTAATGTTCAGTAGACAGCATACCTCTCCCTCTCCAAATAAGTTGAAAGGTTAAAAGGTACGTCCCCTAGAAAAAACTATCTGTTTTGTCCTTGGGTCCAACTTACATCCCATGGCTCTGATAGTTAAGTTGTTGCCTTATCTTTCTGAGGCTTAAGCATCCATGCCAATTCTCAAATAGTCTCTTCAATATGTCATATGCTCTCCAGTCATCATCTTCATCCTCATCTCCCGCCAACTCAAAATCTGAACTATGTTTTGGATTCCCCTAGATCTGGTAGGTGAGGTTTTGCCTTATTATGCAAAGGCCCAATCCTGTACACCACTTCCTCCTTACTTTACTAGGCCCTCAAACAGGTCTGTTCCCTACACTTTCTAGCAACCTACTGTCATGTCCCATTAGAATGCAAGCTCCTTGAGGTCATGAGCTGTCTTGCTTGCTTGTATTTTTATCTCCAGCACTTAGCCCAGTTCCTGGTATGTAGTATGTAATAAATACACACTCTGTCTATGTATTGATCCATCTTAGTGTCTGTCTAGATAGGTTTCTTTTTTGGAGGGCATACGATTTTAGAGCTACTTAGAGAGAACTGTGAAGAGTCACTCATCTGTTTGTGACTGGTCAGAAGGACCGTGCTCTGATAGGACTTAGGAGTCAGCAGAGCAGGGACTACTGGACTGTCAACAGCACTCAATTTTACCAAAGTAGTGTGAAGGTAGAATTAGGCAATTACCTTTTCATGTGCATTGAAATTTTTTCAAACTTTTAGTATAATGTTGGTGCACTGTGTTTTTGGAGGACATGGCACATATATGAAAATGATGATGTATACCTTATAGAATGTTTGCTAACATCTGCCTGATGCAGTGCCAGGCAAGCACAACTGTTTTGTAATCTGAAGGTTCTTGGTTATAATCCTAGTTGTTGTGGTTGTTGTTATTTTGAGGGGGCTAATATGATTGAAATTAGCTAACAGGAAGGTGAGACAATTATATTCAAGAATAATATATGTAGGTTGAAAATGTATAAGTGTTTTATGAGCTTTATTTGTTTGTAGGAATAAATAAATTGTTAATATGGGAATGTTAGAGAAAGAGAAACTACTATTCCAGAGCCCTTATCATGTCTGATCAATATCTTAATTAAGTACAATCCAGAACTATCATTACATTTGTTATTATTTTAAATATCTACTCCTGAAATAGATCTTGAAGTTACAAAAATATTAGCTTAAACAGAAACAGTTTTCTAAAAGTGCTTTCAGACCAAATCATTTTTGAAAATTTTAACAAATGTGTTAATAGAAAATAGTGATTGCATCCCATATAGATTGTGGCACTGCTTGATAGTCAATTGATCACTTTATTATATACTGTTGAATATTGGTGCCTAAATCTTTCAGATTTTTTCATCTTCTCTCCCTTAAAAGATTCTTAATTTTTTGAAGTCAGGGATTTTGTCATATATTTAGTTTTCATAGACTTCTTAGGGAATCTACAACTGCACCTGTGCAGATATTATATTAAAAAGATTACAAGCTATTGTATTTGAGAAAATGATTTTTTGTGGGTTGCCTTCACCAAAAAGGTCATTACCTTATGGCCAACCTGGTTATGAGCTTCCTCAGACTAAGCTGGATGCATTTTCAGATGACCAACATGCCATTGCCACATCCCTATCCATCAATTAATCCATCAATAATCATTTATTAATCTCCTACTATGTGCCAGGTTCTATATCACACAGTGGGGATACCAAAGCAAAAATAAAACCATCCTTGCCCTCAAAAACCTAAATTCTATCAGTCAAAGCAACAAACACACACAGATATAAGAACAAAAATATTTCTTGTTCAGTCATTCAGTCATGTCCAACTCTTCATGTCCCCAGGGACCACAGCATTCCAGGCCCATTCTCCATTATCTCTCTTGAAGTCTGTCCGAGTTCATGTTTCCACGACATTATCTATCCATCTCATCCCCTGACATCTCCTTTTGCCTTCAATATTCCCCAGCAGCAGAGTCTTTTCCAATTAATCCTATCTTCTCATTATGTGATCGTAGTGTTTAAGCTTCAGCTTCAGTATTTGACCTTCCTGTGAATAGTCAAAATTAATTTAAGTATTAGTTGATTTGATCTCCTTATTGTCCAAAGGACTTTCAAAAGTCTTCTTCAGTATCACAGTTGAAAAGAGTTGATTATGTAGCATGTTGCTTTCCTGATAGTCCAGATCTCACAGCCATACATTGCTACAGGAAAAACAAAACAAACAAACAAACAAACGAAAAACATAGCTTTAGCTATATGGAACTTTGTTGGCAAGGTGATGTCTCTGCTTTTGAGTATGCTGTCCAGATTTGCCACAGCTTTCCTTCCAAGAAGCAAGTGTCTTTTAATTGCATGGCTGTTGTTGCCATCCACAGTAATCTTTGAACCCAAGAATATAAAATCTGACAGTGCTTCCATTTCTTCTTTCTTCCTCTGTTTGCCAGAAGATGATGGGACTAGTTGGCAATATCTTAGTTTTTTTTGTTTCTTTTGTTTCATGTTGAGGTTCAAGACAGCTTTTATACTCTCCTCTTTCATCTTGATCAAGAAGCTTCTTGCTCTTTGGGGTTTCCGGAAGCTACCTCTAACTGGGAAATGCCACAGGTGTGATGGCCACTGCCTGGATTAGTGAATGGCACAGGGCCTGGCCTGGGCACCCTGACAGATCGCTACACCATCCACAGCCAGCTGGAGCATCTGCCGTCCAAATACATCAGCACGGGCCATGCAGACACCACCAAGTGGGAATGGCCAGTAAACCAGCACTGCCACTTGTACTGCTCCTGCGGGGGCCACTTCGACCTCCTCAACTACTTCGCCATACCTGAGAATGAGAGCAAGGCACACATGCACTTCAACCTGATGAAGTTGCTGCAGCTCTGTGGACCTCAGGCCAAGAAGCCCGAGGAGAACTGAGCCCCTGGGGCCTTCCCGTCCCTGGTGCCCTCCAGCCATGCCCCTGATGCAGATATCCACTCTGATTTCCTGCTCCTCTAGCCCTTCCCGGACAAAGCCTGTCTGTGACCCCCGAGGAAGGTCAGTGTTCTCCTGCTGCTGCCACGGTGCCTCGGCCTGCCTGTCTTTCCATTAAGATGAGCCCAGAGACTGTGAAAATGAGGTGTCCTCAGCAATGGCGAATGCCCGGGCAGTGACTCTGGAGAGGGATTTTAACTTGGAAACTTGTGTTTCGATTTTGGTGTTTGTTTTTTTCACTTCCTCCCCATAAAATTAAAATCTTTTGAGAAAAAAAGCGCCTCTTGATGTTTCTTAACTTTGTGCTGTCAAAGTGGTATTGTCTGCATATCTGAAATTTTTATATTTCTCCTGGCAACCTTACTTCTGGCTTTTGATTCCTCCAGCATGGCATTTTACATGATGTGCTCTACCTATAAGTTAAGTAAATAAAGTGACAATATACAACCTTGTCATAATACTTTTACAATCTTAAACCAATCAATCACCTGTTCCATGTTCAATTCTAACGGTTGCTTCTTGACCTGCATACAGGTTCCTCAGGAGACAAGTAAGATGATCTGGTACTCCCATCTCTTTGATGACTTGCCACATTTTTTTTGTGCTCCACAGAGTCAAAGGCTTTTGTGTAGTCAATGAATCATAAGTAGGCATTTTCTGGAACTCCCTTGCTTTCTCCAAAATCTAGTGAATGTTAACAATTTGGTCTCTAGTTCCTCTGCCTCTTTGAAAACCAGCTTGCTCTTCTGGTAATTCTCAGTTCACATATTGCTGAAGCCTAGATTGCAGAATCTTAAACATGATCTTGCTGGTGTGTGAAGTGAGCACAATTGTTCAATAATTTTAATATTCCTTGACATTGCCTTTTTTTAAGATTTGGAGATAAATTGATCTTTTCCAATCCAGTGGCCACTGCTGAGTTTTCCAAATTTGCTACCATATTTAGTGTAGCACTTAAACATCATCAACTTTTAGGGTGTTAAATATCTCAGCAAGTAATTCCATCAACCTCCACTAGCTTTCTTGCTAATATTATTCTCTAGGGCCCACTTGACTTCATTCTCCAGGATATCTGCTTCTACATCAGTAACCATCCCATCTTGGTTATCTATTGGTGATGTTAATATCTTTCTTATATAGTTCATTTGTGTTTTCTTGCCACCTCTTCTTAATCTCTTCTGCTTCTGTTATGTCCCTGCCATTTTTGTCTTTTATCATGCCCATTTTCGCATGAAATTTTCCCTTGATAACTCTAATTTTCTTGAAGAGATCTCTTCTCTTTTACATTATATTATTTTCTTCTGTTTCTTTGCATTTCTCATTTAAGAAAATCTTATCTCCCCTTGATATTCTCTGTAATTCTTCATTTACTTGGGTATATATTTCCTTTCCTCCCTTGCCTTTTGCTTTCCTTCTTTCTTCAGGTATTTATAAAGCCTCATCAGAGAGCCGTTTTGCTTTCTTGCTCTTTTTGTTTTCTCTGGAATGATTTTTGTTACTGTTGTTGCTGCTGCCTCCTGCACAATATTGAGAACCTCTGCCTATAGTTCTTCAGGCACTCTATCTGCCAGAACTAATCTCTTAAATCTATTCATAACTTCTACATCATATTCTTAAGGGTTGTGATTTAGGTCATACCTATATGGTCTGATGATTTTCCCTACTTTCTTCAATTTAAGTCTGAATTTTGCAATAAGAAGCTCTCAATCTGAATCACAATCAGTTTCAGGTTTTGCTTTAACTGATTGCATGGAGCTTCTCCACCTTCAGAAATTAATCTGATTTCTATATTGTCCATCTGCTGATGTCCATATGTAAAGTTGCCTTTTGGTTTGTTAAAAAAAAAAAAGTATTTACTATGACCAGGGAGTTATTTTAACAAAATTTTGTTAGTCTCTACTCTCCTATTTTTTTCAGAACTCTCCATTATGACTTGTCCATCTTGGATAACTCTGCATGGCATAGCTATACAAGTCACTCCACCAAAGGCAATGATCCAGGAGGGGTGCAAATAAATGTGTGTGTATTAGATATTAAATATGTTGGGGTGGAGAGAGTATAAACATTTGGGGAGTGTTAGATTAAGAAAGGCCTCATGGAAAAGATAGTACTTGAATTGAGCTTTGAAGGCTAATAGATATTCTAAGAGGCAGAAGTAAAGAAGGAGTGGAGATGGGTCTGTGTAAGTATGCATGGGAGAAGAATCGGTGTAAAAAGCACAGAGATGAAAAATGGAATGTAGATTGAATTGATTCCAACTTGGTAAATTATAAATATAGGTTACTGGAAGGATGATGACTACTAAGACTGAACAAAGCAATTAGGGAGGGTAGGTTGGGGTGGGGAGGATAAAAAGTTAAGGATGCCTAAAAGATATTCATTTGGATGTGTCCAGTATTTCACTGGCAATGTAGTACTATATCCCAGGAGAGACACTAAAGCTTGGCCATTACACTTGGTACTTATCTGCATAGTGATGATAATTGAGTCCCTGTTTGTTGATGAGATCCTTGAGAAATGGAGGAGAAAAGAAGGGATAAGAACCCAGATTTGGGGTACACCAAGTGTTGTCAGGCAGAACACAAATGATAATCCAACATCCTGTGAGGAAAGGCCAGGCAGGTAGAAGAAGAACCAAGTGAGAGCTCTGCATAATAACCCAAAGGATGATTTATCTAGGAGAACAGCATTGTCAACAGTGCCAAATGCTATGGAAATTTTCAGAATAATTAAGACTGAGAAGAATTCAGATTTAATCATAAGAAATGTTAACATTGGACAGATAAATTTCAGTTTGAGTAATCAAGAGGGAAGCCTGATTTTACTATGATTTTGGTATGAGAGGAGAGACAAACAATAGCATAAGGAGGAATTGTAGAGTCTAGTGAAGGATTTTAAAAGATTGGGAAGAAATTGGCATATTTGAAGGCAAAAGGGAAGAATCTAGCACATAAATGGAGACTGAACAGATGTGTATGTGTGTGTGTGTGTGTGTGTGTGAGAGAGAGAGAGAGAGAAACAGACATTCAGAGACAGAGAGAAAAAGATCTAGAGAGACAGAGACAGAAAACAAGAGAGGGAGCAAGACAGAGACAGAGAGAAAAAGAAAGAGTGAGAGTTGAATGGAAATATGAATGCTTTCCACTCTGGTAGAAAATGTATATTTGTGCTCTGAAGGCATATTTTTTTCAAAAAGTCAGAGTCAATTCCATACAAAGATGAGGCATTGTAATAAGATATGAGTTGAGATTCACAGGTAGGATTAATAAATTATTACTGTAGGAATAAAAAAAAAATCTCTTGCATCACAAAAGTCTAGCACAGAGTTTCTTTTCCTTCTTTCATGAACCCAGTTACATGCTTTTTACCAATTCTTGTCATATTCTGCTTTCCACCATTAGTTCTAAGATAAGAAAGAATAAAATTTCCAACAATTATATTCATGAACACTTGTCTGTGCCTAAATAATACAAAACATTAGCCCTCATTTCTGCTTATTTTTCTCCAATTTAAAGATGGTAGAGAAATAAGATCAGAGAGATGAGTGAAAGCTAGGAGCAATTTTCTTCCAAAGGGGACCAGTTGTAGTAGAATTAGGAGGAAAAGTGAAAAGAACATGTAAGAAAGAACATTTCCCAGGGGAAGGCAAGGAAAAAAAAAGAATGGAAGTTTATAAAGTAATATTAGGGTAAAAAGAGAAGCCTTGATAATCATTGGTTTTCTTTGATTCCTAATTAAGCTTTCAGATTTAGCCAAATATTCTTTTCTGTGTAATACTGAGCACCATCCTTTAGTATTCAGCATTCCTCTGTTGTCTGACCTAATCTGACCTGTGTGCCACTGATTAAAAGTATAAATAACTTTTAAAAAATCTCTCCAGATGCAACTATGCAGCTATAAACTCTAGTCTTCTTTTATTATCACTGATGTATTAAATATAATACATTTATGTATGATTTGATAATCACTTATTAAAATAATCTGCTTTGGACAATGCACTATTCTAGGTTCTAAAGATACAAAAAAAGGGACTGACATACCATGTGGCCTCAAGGAACATACATTCTAGTAAAGATGACAATACACATATAAAGGTGTTTAATAAATATTTGTTGATAGCCTGTGAGGCATATGATATTATACTGAAGTGATATAAACAGTGGTATGACAGAGTCAAAGAAAATGTTATGATTTATAGCTGAGAACATCTGGGAAAGATTGACAGAAGAAATGCCACTAAATTGGGTCATGAAAGAAGTGTAATAAAATGAAGAAATGTCAGGAAATGGGGAAAAAGAAGTTATTTAGAGAGACCATTCTAGCCTGTAAGACAATGTACAAAGAGGCACAAAGGTAGAAAAAAGCAGTATAAGGACATATTTGCTGAAAGTTCAACTGTGAGAATGTCTATTGAGACAGTATAAAATATCAGGAGGATCCCTGTTTGAAATCAGAAGACCTGGATCCAAATCATAGCTCCAGTCCTACTTCACTGTGTGACAATGGAATAGTTCTTTAGCCTCTCTAAACACCTATTTCCTCATCTATAAAATAAGGAGAATATTCTATCTTATACAGCTGTTGTGAGAAAAAACATTATATGAATGTGACTTATTGTTGTGAAAATGGAGAACTATCAGCCATATGCATGACCGGCAAAAACACTCCCTTGGGGGAAGGGAGAGTAATTACCAATGTAACCACCAAAGGTCTCATAATTTATTATGATGAAGGAAGTATAGGATCAGAATTGGTCTAGCAATGGAATAAATTATTATTTCCCCCTAAAAGGCAGAAGTTGCCTCAGTGCTAATGAACAAAATCATTGTAAAGAATATTACTATTGGTTACAAATGGGTGCAACTAATTGAATATACCTTCCTCACCTATTCCTTGTTGGTCCCAGCCTAGAGAGGTGAGTCATCAATTCATTTCAAGGTATA